AATTAATAAACAAGGTTTAAAAATAACAATAACCAATCAATAGTTTTCTATGCATTATACAATCAATTTTTAATTTTTTACCTGTGGGGGAATTCGTCGCCGTTTGATACCATGTTTCTTTGAAAAGTTAACAATCATGTCTTCCACATCTGGGTCCTTCATGCTGACACGCCCACCTGGTTTGCCGTAGTCATACCATCCTTTACCTGTGAGAAGAAACATCAAAAACCATGCAGGATTTGATTTCTTCAGTGCGATACACACCAAGCAGGGTTAATCCACAAAGTCTTACTTCTAGTCGGGTCCTTCTGGTGGTGAATTGGGCAGTACACCGGGAGACAATCCCCTACCCTAGGGTACTGTAAACGTCTCACCTGAAAGGCAGTGCATTTTAGAAGCCTGCATTTCAGCCCTCCGGCTGAAACACAAGGAGAGCAGCAAGGGAATTGAACCGGTGACTTTGAGATCTCCACAGTTCAGCACATACTGTACACAGTGACTACCGCTAGCTGCTGTGTAAATAGCAATCTCCATTCTCTGGAAAGTATACATATTCGTGCTGTACTGAGCACAAATGAACATATTCAATAACACAGCATCCTACAAAAACTGTCTACTTCCAATTCTGTTCAATGTCAGCCCTCATTCTATATTACAGTCCTACAAGTCTTCCTAATAGGCCTATTAATTATCAACATTAACTAAGATAGGCCTTGATATGTAAAAGCATGCACCCCAGCTTCTACCGTACCACTAGAAATTTTCAGAGTTAGTTAAAAACAACATGCCACCACCATAACTCCCCGACGAGGGATACCCCCACAAAGGGCCCCAATGGCAATTTCAGACTGTAAGAATATGTTTTCATAGTGTTTCAAACAGAATGACATGCTTCCGAGCCATGCTACCCGAATCCGCCGCTGGCGCCGCCTATGGTTAGACATCGCATCATATTAACGCTGCTACTTCATCATTCTCCTCCTCATTTTACTACTCCAAACCACTAGATACAGTGAGATACGCCCAGAAAAAGCCTGAATCTTAACAGTGCCAAAGTAGGTGGTCGTGTTACAATAACAGAAAAAACGGGGGTTTGAATACCAGGGCCCTAGCTGCAACTGCTTCGCCAACCACACCACACAACATTTCAAATTATATCACTAACCTGTTTTTTGTCCAAGCCTTCCAGCCTCCACAAGTCTATCAGCAAGAGGCGAGTACCGTTCCCTCATGCGCATACGCTCTGGTCCATCTCCACCGACTAATCCTAATTCCTTTCTAATTTTATAACCAATATCAAGGCCTACAAATATAATTAAAAAATATATTATTGCCTGGATTTTGGAATCTAACTGTTTAATAAATAATAATATTTTTGCATATAGCTAGGAATATTGTACTTCATTTATCAGCCACATAAAACTCAAATAACAATTGTTTATTCAGGTTCCATTTCAGAGACATCTTTTCACCTCCGCCAAGTAGGTTATGTATACACTGCTGTCTGTCTATAGCAGGATTAAGCAAAACTAATAAATGAATTATTATAAAATTTAGTGCAGGGTTAATATGGGTCTAAGGAAGAAGTGATAACCTTTTGGTCTGCTCAAAACACAAGGTGTAGTGCACCACCATTTATTTATGTAATGTAATGTGTAGTGACAAACCAATCCTATTTTAAGTACTGTGCCAAGATAATTATTTAAAGTTAAATGTTAAAAAGACAAAGGAGATTATCGTTGATTTTAGAAAAGGCAACAAGACACATGATGACCTGACTATTATACATGATAAGGTTGAAATTGTTAAACACCATAAATATCTTGGTACAATTATTGAGGATAAGCTTGACTGGAAAGAGAATACAAAGCACATTACCAGTAAGTGCAATCAGAGGCTGTACTTCTTAAGACGTTTGAAGAAATTTCATGTATGTAATAAAATCTTGGTACTCTTTTATGAATCAGTCATTTTATCAATTCTAACTTTTAGTGCAATAATCTGGTTTTATAGCCTTGATAAACAGAACATGAAAAAGTTGTAAAAATTAGTAGAACAGCTGACAGAATTATAGGACTAAAAACAGTAAGAATATAGAAGATTGTGTTAACAGTGCAATGTGTAAAAAAACGGAAGTAATTATATCAGATGTTAATCACCCTCTTAATCTGTACCTCGCCTTCAGCAGGACTGGACGTATGTTATATCCAAGGATGCTGACAAATAGAATTTGTAAATCATTTCTCCCAAGCGCTATGAGACAATTTAATAAAATGTGGAAAAGATAGGCCTATGCTGTATACCCCAATCTGCTTGCCTTTGCCAAAGCTGATTTTTTACAGAATGTTTAACTAATTTTAACCCCTTTTTAATGTTTTTAGCCATTTTAATCTTTTAGCTGACTTTTATTGCTTTTAAATTTTTGCTGTTTCCTCTGTTTTTTTTCTGTGATTTTATCTTTTGTGTCTTGTTTTAACTTACATTTTAACTGTGAACAAACAAGAAGAATTTAAAACCATGTTCTCACTGTGTTTGACAATAAAAGTTGAATTGAATTGAATTGTAGATGACGAATATTTAGCGAGAGAGCTACAAAGTATTACATTTATGCATGAGATTTTGGTCCTTAAGCGCGAGAGACCTGGAATGAGTGGGCCTTGGTTTGTATGCATAGCGTTGTGACTAATCTAGTTTGGTTTAGTACAGAGTGGGTAGAGAATATAATTTTAAAGTGTAGTTGGCAATGAATAAAATCTTAACGCCCATCATATAAAAATCAAACAAAACCTAATTAATGGCCATTTTTGGTGCATTCTGGCTTAGGTTTCCCTTGAAAGCACTTTAAGCATCAGTGAATATGCCATTGGTGTCATCAGATCTATGAATATCATTTTTGTCACATTTACCTGCTAAATCTGTAGTTTCAAAAATTCCCATGCGAAATCCAAAAACCTTCAGTACTTGATCAACCTCCTGTGGAAAACAGCCTTCCTCCAGCAAAAAGCAAGCCTAGAGAATCCACCAAAAAAATAAAATAGAATTTGTTTGCTTTGGTCGACATTATGTTGAATACATTACTGACATACTCTATAGCACAGTCTTAACATTGAGGACACTTCACTAATAATAATAATAATAATACTGTTGGCTTATATAGCGCATTATTCTAAAGCCTCAATGCGCTTAACAATAAAAATGAAAGTCCGGCAGAAAAAATTTAAGAAAAGTACAGATTAAAAGTGAGTTTTTTTAAAGCGAATTTAAAATCAACAACGGATTTCAATAGGCAAAGTATTCCAAAGACAGAGGCCCAAGAAAAAGAACGATTACTATAATGCTTTGTAGACGGACGAATGGAATGAGCAAGTAGAGAATCTGAACTAGATCTAGAATTCTTATGAATAGCATGAGTAGCACCAATAATCCAAAAACAACAAACCATAAGCCCAAGCCTCACTGCATACAACACTGAATTATGATTTGAAACTGAAGAAGAATCTTCAAAAGCAGCAATAGTATAATGCTCTGTAGACGGACAAATAGAATGAGCAAGTAGAGACTCTGAGCACCAATAATCCAAAAACAACAAACGATAAGCCCACTGCATACAACACTGAATTATGATTTGAAACTGAAGAAGAATCTTTAAAGAGCAGCATACTTTACCTCTTTTTGGTATGGCCCCATCAGTCTGTTTCCAACAAATCCATGACAGTTACCAACCAAAACACTAATCTGTAAATAACGAGGCAAATGCTGATGGCTATTAAATTGCACGGCGATATACACAAAATAATATAATTTATAATGGAGATTCTTCTTGTGTCTACATACAATCTCACACAATCAAAACATGTTTCACTAAAGCTGAATGTTAGCATTACATAGGGCTGTACACATTGGTATACACTTTTAAAATATCCAAAAAAAATGGAAACCTTATTTTTAGTTGTGGATCTCTGATTTGAATTATGATTATTTTATGCACCATAAACATAAAATCAAATATTGCTCCAATAAAATCTGAAACCAACAATTTCAACATAAGTTGCGAATGACCTAATGACTTATGTGAGCAATGGACTTCATACCAATTGAAGCAATACAATATACCTTTTTAATCTTCTGTCCAACATGCATAGCAGTAGCTATGGTCTCTGGTGATGTTTTTTTGCCGTATATATTCTCTAGCAGTCGCATAACATGAGCTGGAGAAAAAAAATGCATACCAACTACCTTGTCAGGCCTTGCTGTCACAGATGCAATCTAAGGTGGAAAGAAACTGAGATTTAAAAAAATGAATATTTGAATTGTTTTTAACATTCTGTATTAATTATTGTTTGTAAAACTTTTTATTCAGTAACTGAACCTATCAAAATAGATTTATATATTTGGTGTAAGTAGCAAAGATAACCCACAAAAGTCTAAGAAGACTTATTTCCAGTGGGGTCCTTCTGGTGGTGATTGGGCATCACACTCGAAGACAATCCCCTGCTCTTTTCCAGAGTGTACTCCGTTCTTTAACATAGACATGGGCCATAATGCACACAGGACCAACAGCTTAAACGTCTCATCCAAAAGACAGTGCACTATCGTAACTTGGGAATTGAACAGTGGACATAGAAATCACGGTTCAGCACACACTAAGTGGCTCCACTACTTTAGCCGACTGAACTTAGAGCTGCTCTCTCTATCTGCATGGCAAATATGGAATGAGGCAATTAAATTTCTGATAGTCTTGTCTTGTTTACATCAGAATTTTTAAATGATAAGCACGCAATAATAGATTACAACAACCATTACAAACAATCTCACCTCATCAATATTTAAAGTAGATGTGTTACTAGCGAGGATAGTAGATGGATTACAGATTGAGTCAAGTTTCCTGAAAATCTTCTTTTTAAGTTCCATGTTTTCAAAAACAGCTTCAATCACAAGATCGACATGACTGAAGCTTTTGTAGTCCAGAACAGGTGTAAGAAGAGACATCAAGCCTTTGGCCTGTACTTCAGTTAATCGCTTACGTTTTACCCCAGAAGATATCAGTCCCCTCAATGTCTTCACACCTCTGTCAAGATACTGGAAGAAATGAATATAATGACAACAATAACAGCAGCAGCAGTTTATCTTGCCTGCCATATCTCTCAAAAGTATTTAAAGATATATATTGTCTGTGATAGAATCTTCGAAAATTAAATTAAAACATTAAATCTATACCTTACTTAAATGGATTAACTTCCAATGATACACAGATCAAACCATTAAGTACAGATATTTCACCACTGTACAAAATTCCTGAAATTAGAGTGTATTCAAAAGTGTATAGGAATTGTATATTTATACGTCAGTAAATTAGCGGACAATTTTTATCATTCTAATTTAAAGCTTATAATTTGCCTATGAAAATAAAAAATTATTTTTCTAAAAGTTTTGAGTTTACCATAGACTGTAGATTTTTATTTTTATTCTTTAAAGTATTTTAGCATTTATATACCATTCTTTACCAGAATCTCACTGCAATTTTTACCCTGGTCATACATGGCATGGTCCTCTTTATACACTACCTCTTTATTTTGTTCTGTTAAGAAGACTTGAATGCCACTGGAGATGAGGGCCATGCTTATTCCAATACCCATGGTGCCTGCACCAATCACAGCTGCAGTCTTTACAGGCATCGGCTTGGCTGTCTTGTAGCTTACACCACTAGGCAGTTGCCACTGTAAGAAAAGGAACAGGGACATAATTGATTAATCTTATGTTCTGCAGCACTTAGTGAGAATAATTAAATTATGTTTTATGTTTTCGTTTTTATGTATAAAGTATCCGTGGCATAAACAGTACAAATGAAATGTAACCGTTTGGAGACTATAGTACACCTACAAATATTATGTTTTTGATTCAAGCTTTATGAAAAAAAGTAGCAAACTTCGTCAGGTGAACGCTTTATGGACCATGACACGGTGATTCACAAATAATTTGAAATGGTGACAGACTGTCACTGAAAGTTGAGTGCACCGCCATTGCGTCAAGCAAGCGTTCGCACACATTTTCGAGGAATTTGTGTTGTTGGACGACTCAGTGTATACCAGGCTTAAAATAATGTTCAAGAACTTAATGTCCTAGAAAATCTGTGATTTAAAGTTGAAGAAAGCACTGCAACAGCTCTACTGCAACGTTTACCTTGGATACACTCCTTTCAGCAAAGAAAGCATATTGCTGGGCCCTCGCTTGGCCAGATTCTCCCAAAAACTGCATCAGTTCTGCTTCTCTGAAAATCATAAAAACATGTATTATATTTATAAATTATAACTGTTTAAATCTTTTATTCTCGTACAGTGCTACTGAAAATCGTATGCTTACCTGCAGAATGCTCTAGGTCATTCTTGGTGTGTTTCAAATTGATAAAATCTAATTCTTAGCTAACTAGGTTGAATGTACTGACTATCTTGAGCTCTGTCAACACTATAAAAAAAACTGTTGTATGCCCATATATAGTCCTGATGTACCTATATTTGGTCATGATATGATGTCATCATGACCATATTGAAGCATGTCACATGTTTTTGTCTAATATAATTTGACAGTTTGCACAGGGTTTAGAGATGTTAAATTTTATATTTGAGATGAATATTTTTTGTGTGTTTTTTTTCATTGTATATACCATTTCTGATGAGCTAAGAAAATGAAAATAAATTACCATTTTGATATTCTTTAAAACCTTTTCTATATTATTTTGCATAGACCCAGATATTGCCTGGTACCAGTAATAAACATAAACATTTTTGTGGTTAATCAGTGAACATATTATGGTACTTGCCATGCCAAACAGCGTCATTGACCAAACCGAGAAACTTGACTTTTTAATATATTTATATTCTCCATATAGTCGCTCACATCACGAACTAACACAATTAAATTCAATTGTGTTAGTTCGTGAAATCAAAAAAGCACGTCAAAATACGCGCTGTTGTCGTTAAGGACTTTTTGTGTGGTAAAGAATACAAAATTGCTTGACAACCAATACGCGCTCGTTTTGACGCGCTACTACTGATTTCACGAACTAACACAATCTACTTTGATTGTGTTAGTTCGTGATGTGAGCGACGATATTATAACCTTTAAAATGATAGGTCATTATTTGGAGTAATGTTCATTCTATTATAGGTCATATCGACTTGCTATTGCTAAAGTTATGAGTAAAAGTATTATTGGCTACTCTGTACAAAAGTCAATACTGCCAATTCAATATACTAATTACTCAGTTTAACAATTAACGATAGTACGCTGGTTTGGGGATAGCAAGCCTCATATTCCAAGTATTGAAATACACGCCATCGTGTTGGGATTCAATATTTCGACATTAATTATGTCATTCCTGATGATGACATAATTAATGTCGAAATATTGAATCCCAACACGATGGCGTGTATTTCAATAC